GGAAGCAGCAGTCAAGAGATCAGACAACGTATTGCATTGGGAATTCTCTGTACTTCTTGCTAAATTTTTCAGAAAACCTAAAACTGCTCTTAAATAGTGTATTAATTTTTCTTTTGAAAATAAAAGAATAGGCTATACACAGAGTCTTTTTCTATAGAAGGTGACAGCCACTATATCACTTATCTGGAAGCAGAGGGAGCAAGCCATTCTAGTGCCAGCATCAGTGGTATTGGTGGATCCATGGATGGTGGCAGTCATAGGACTAGTTCTGTAGCATGATTGTGGCCATTATTCCCAGGTGAAGAGTTTGCTAGCCTCCTAGAGATTTTTAATAGATAAATGTTATTTTTCATTTGACATTAGCCTGAATAATTTTTGTTATTTGCAATTCAAACCTTGATTGATACTTTGTCCATCCTGAACCAGTCACTGGGGAATGACATTACTCTGTTCTAGACCAGTCAGGAACCATCTCTGGAACTGGAGACCAGATTCATTCCAGCTAAACCACATAGCTGCTTTGTAGTTAGGAAGATCATGAAAGAATAATGGAATGGTCGCTCAAAAAAGAATATTGATTATCTTTAATGTCAGCAAAGCATATCTAATTTGTTCTTTGTTTGTTTTCTTCCATTAAAGTAACAGTGGTGACAGTCTCTCTGAAACAGATGAAACTCTGATTGTTATCCAGGCTATAAGAGAAGCTAGTTTACCAAAATTTATTTCTAATGACGTCCCAATTTTTGAAAAGATTATAGGAGATATTTTTCCCGGAGCTACAGTTACCAACATAGATCAACTTGCTTTGAAGGTAATAAAAGACATTTGAAAAGAGCCACAAATGATTTAATGTGGAATATCAATTAAGAAAGCAGATGAGAATGAAAAATATTTGTGTGTTGTTTAATTCTCTATTAATGTTTTAATTTTATTTTAAAATATTTATAGACATATGTTCCTCTTGTGGAGAAAAAGCTTTAGCATATCATAGCATAATGGAAAGAAGGGAACAGTGCACATTTAGGCAAGGAAGACTGGTATATATTTTGTTTCTTAATTTGCTCATCTTTCAAATGGGGTTAATAGTGTCTGCTCTTCCTACTTTAGGGTTTCTAGTGTAGAGCTGTCGGATAAGCACTAGCCTGTAAACTACAAGGTCTGCAGTTCAGACCCACCAGCTACTCCTTGGAAACAGGGTCACTATGAGTTGAAGGCACTTAACAACAACCACAACTTAGAATCAAATAAGATCAGAATTATAAAAAATTTTTTTAAAGTTCAACTATTTTAAGATCATGAAAATTATAATTATAGAACCCTCCATTGTCTATTTTATAACAAGAGATAATGGAATTTTCCCACAAACTTTTTGAAATCCCTAACGGTTATGAATCGGGCTGCTAATCTCACGGTCAGCAGTTCGAAACTACCAGCTGTTCAGCAGGAAAAAGATGAGACTTTCTGCTCCCATAAAGATTTACAGCCTCGGAAACCCTGTACAGGGTTGCTATGAGTCGGAACCGACTCCACAGCACATTACAACAAGAATAACCTGCATTCCAGTCTGTGTCCTTTTGGTCACCAGAATTGCCTCCCTAAAGCATATGGTTGATCAAATAAACAAAACCACTATTGAGTCACTGTGGTCTGTAGTAAAAAGATCTAAATTATTTATCTTGGTGCATAATATCTGGCTGAACCTATAATACCCTACCTTTCCAATATATTCCTCCAGCCTCTTCTATTCTTCATATCCTTTCCACCCTGAACTTCTCACTGTTTTCTGGCTCTTCCAGGTCCTTATCATGCCTCAGGTCTTTAAACAGGGTCTCCTTTCACTGGCTCTAGCCTTCATTAAAAAAAAGAAAAAAGGGTGTGTATTTATGAATTTTAGAAATGACGGTGTAAAGAGCTTCAGAAAGGTCATTGTTTAAAGGTTTAGAAACCATTGGGACCAGGAATTTTGTGACAGGGTAGTCATGGTTCTCTTCTATGAAAATAACTCCATATAGACTTTCTGTTTCTCTAGGGTCAATTTTGTTAAATTCAACAATATTCACATTTAATACAGGCTTTCAAATATGTTAGTCCAGAGTTACACAAACCTTGACCTTATGAAACTTATAATTTCTGTTTTTTAGATTATTTGCCCAAACATTTCTTATTTTGTACTGTTTTCATTGTTAGATTCCCTAGCAATTTTTCTGATTTTCTAATTATTACTATTTTTCTCAAAGAACCAACTTTTACTTATTTTAAACATCTTTTTCTGTTTTCTAATTTTTAAAATGTTTTTACCATTTTTAGTATGTTTTTCATCCCTCTGGGTTTTGCATTGTCGTTGCTTTTTCCAGCTTTCTGTTAAGATGCCTAATTTATTTAATCCTTTCTTTGGTTACTGATATAAGTTTCTAAGACCACAAATTTTTCTTTAGTACTGCTTTAGTTACTTGCGCTAAATTCATACTTACGGAGTTTTCATAATCAGTGCTTTCCAGATATTCTGTAAATTCAGTTAGTACTTCTTTTTCCTAAGTGTTCTTTAAGGCAGGTTTTCCTTGTTTTTAATTTACCTTTTTAATTTCTAGTTTTATTGTCAATTTCTAGTCTTATTATATTATGATTAAAATATCGTATTTATTATTTGCCCTTAAGAACTTGTTTACATTTTTCTTTGTGACCTAACATGGCATTGATTTATGTAAATATTCTACGTGGTTGTTGTGAAGTGCCTTTGAGTCAGTTCCGACTCATAGAGACCCTGTATAGGGTTTTCGAGGAGTGGAAGATGAGTTTGAACTGCCAACCTTGTGGTTCAAACTGACCTTCTGGCCGAGTACTTAGAAAAGAAAGTATATATTTTCTATAATCAACTACAAATACAGGAAATAGTTCAATCTATTTCCATTATTCTATTTAATGATTATATTGTTTAGGTCTCTGATAGCCTTTCCTATGTTAGTTGACTTGATTTACCTTGGACAGAGAGAAATAAGTTAATGTCATCCCCTATTCAGAAACCTTATATGGGTTGGAACTGACTGGACGGCACTTAACAGCAACAACAACAGTTAGTATATGTATGTCTAGTCATGTAATTTTTGTTTCATAATAGTTACTATACTGCCATAGTACTTGGTACATCAATATCAACAATACACTTGAAAATACTGCTCTTGTTTTTCTTGTCTAATGTTTTTTGGTTTAAATGCCACTCATCTGTTATTAAAACTGCTCATCTATATTCTGCTCATTTGCTTGTCCTGTATGCCTTGGATACTTTTATTTTCACACCTTGTGAATCACTGTTTTGGGTGTCTCTTTTATACAGCATAGAGTTTGTGAACTTTGCTCTGTGATAACAATCTGAAAATATTTTCCTCTTAATAGATGAAGTAAGTCTATTTGCACTTACAGACACGTCATATCTGATCTTAATTCTGGAATATTACTTTTCTCACTTTTGCATTTTTTCGTTGTCTTCTAATTTTTATTCAGATACATATTTTTAATCATTGTGATGTTATAGGACAATCACTCAACCTGCAGGTCGATTAGCACTGCAAAGTTGGTGGTTCAATATCACCAGCCACTCCACGGAAATCCTATACAGGGTTGCTTTAAGTCCATATTCACTGTCCAAGTTTCTCACGTTTATAAGATTATTGAAAATGCCATGGCTTGGGTCAGGTACACCTTAGTCCCCAAACTAACATCTTTGCTTTTGAACACTTTAAAGAGGTCTTGTGCATCAGATGTCCCCAATGCAACACATAGTTTGATTTCTTGACTGCTGTTTTCATGAGTGTGTTGATGGTTGATATGAGAAAAATGAAGTCTTTGACAGCTTCAATCTTTTCTCCATACATATGGATGTTGTTTATTGGTCCAGTGGTAAGGATTTTTGTGCACTTTACATTGAAGTGCAACCCAGACTGAAGACTTTGGTCTTTGATCTTCATCAGCAAGTGTTTTAAGTCCTCTTTGCTGTCAGCAAGCAAGGTTGTATCATCTGTATATCACATGTTGTTTATGAGTCTTCCTCCAATCCTGATACCGCGTTCTTTTTCATATAATCCAGCTTCTCAGATTATTTGCTCAGCATACAGACTGAATAAGTATTGTGAAAGAATACAATCCTGGCACACACCCTTCCTAATCTTAAACCATTCTGTGTTCCCTTGTTCTGTTTGGATAACTGCCTTTTGGTCTATGTACAGGTTCCTCATGAGCTCAATAAGGTTTTCCAGAATATTCATTCTCCACAATGTTGTCCATAGTTTGTCATGATCCATACAATCAAAAGCCTTTGTGTAGTCAATAAAGCACAGGTAGAAATCTTTCTGGTATTCTTTGCTTTCAGCCAATGATATCCATCTGACGTCAGCAATGATATCCCTCATCCCACATCCCTAAAGCTGTCACACAATTTACAACACATTTCAACATGCAGTGCTTTAATTAGCATTCAATTATAAATATTTCTTAATTTCCTTTATGACTTCTTTTTATATCCTAGAAGTTACTTTGTTTCCAAATGTATGGAATTTTAATTAGCCTTCTGATCTTAATTTTTATTTGCATTAATTTTAGTTGGAGACTATATTAGAAATGATTCCTTTTGAATTTATAGTTTCTCAGTTGTCTGATGAATGGTTCTTTTTTTATAAGTGCTTCCTTCTCAAAAATAATATGTATTCTGTGCTTGTTGAGTATGAAGTTCTACACACAGACTATTAATTTTATTTTTTAGAGTTTTGTAATCTCTGCTTATTTTTTGTTCATTTACCAGTTTCTGAAAAGGGTGTGTTAAGACTTTTAACTACAATTGTTGATACATCTATGTCAGCTGCACTTGTTGCTTCTTATAGTTGGAACTTAGCAGTTGTACATATGCTTAGCTCTTAGTGTTCTTTTACCAGTATAGTGTATTCTTCTTTAACCCATAGGCTATTATTAACTAACTTTTTGGTTTGGGATTCAAAGTTTCAGGATTTCTTTTTTAATCTTTTTTAAACTTTGTATGCCTCTGTTTTTGAACTTTGTATCTTGTAACAAATACATTATTATACTTTGGTTTTTTTAATCCAATCTGTGATTATCTGTCCTATAATTACTTTTTATGTTTACTACAATTTCTGTTATATTAAGATACATTACTGTTGTACTATTTATTTACATTTCTTTTTGCCTCTTGTTTTCTCTTCTACTGCTCTGTCAGAGACAAGTTGTATTCTGTGTTTATTCTCTATGATGTTTATCTAGTCTAGTCCTTTAATAAAACACCTTTTATTTTTTCATTGTTTTCTAAATTGACAGGCATCCTATACTTCAAGGTCTTTTGTTCCACGTGGTTAAATGAGTTGAACTTTTCTGGGCCAACAGTTTGCAGCTCCAAACTCTAAGCTCCACTACCTTGATAGCACTTACTTGTTTTTTGGATTTTGTAGCTTTCCTTTGTTCTCTTGTTTTAATGAAAATGTGATTTGGTATTTTTTTTACTTTTTGCTCAGGGTGGTTTCTAGAGGTACAGTGGAGAGTTGACTGCAAGCTATTGCCTACATTGTGAAGGTTTAAATTTCCACTTACATTTTGAGTTTCTTTACTTCAACTTTGGCTTCCTCTGTTTTACATAAGCACCCTCCTATGTCTCCCAGGCTGAGTGCTTTAATCCCTGCACCACCAGGGTTTCTTGTCTTTTCATCCCAGTGTTTATCCTGCAGTACTACCAGGGCTTCTTACTGACATCGCCATGCTGTTGTTATTAAGTGCTGTCAAGTTGCTTC